ATAGATAGATAGATAGATAGATAGATAGATAGATAGATAGATAGATAGATAGATGATGGATAGATAAGGTGAATAGATGATTGATAGATACAATGGATGGATGGGCAGTTAGATGGATGGATGGCCACAGACACATAGATCGTAGATAGATAAATAGATGTTAGATAAATGCGAGATGGATAAATGCTAGAGATAGATTATTTATTAATATAGAGACAAATAGATATGACGGATGGATGGGTGGATGGATGGATACATAGATAGATACACAGATAATTAATAGATAGACTTCAGATAGAGTCATTCTAGTCAGAATTCTCAGCCTCACACTACTGACATTGGGGGCTGAGTGACTCTCTGATACGGGGCGTCCTATGCACTGTGGGCTGTGGAGGAGCATCCCTGGTCTCCCCCCACCAGGTGCCAGGAGCACCCCTCGCCACCACGGTGACAACCAAAATGACCCCTGACTAATACATAGCACATATATATAAACTAATACATACCTATGTGTATGTAGATGTACATGTGTCTGTATATATATATATGGTATATCATGGTATGTGGTATATATCAACATGACATCCTAATGTATTTTTTTTTAATTTTATTTATTTATTTGGCTGTGTTGGGTCTTCGTTTCCGTGCGAGGGCTTTCTCTAGTTGTGGCGAGCGGGGGCCACTCTTCATCGCGGTGCGCGGGCCTCTCACTGCTGTGGCCTCTTCCGTTGCGGAGCACAGGCTCCAGACGCACAGGCTCAGTAGTTCTGGCTCACAGGCCTAGTTGCTCCACGGCATGTGGGAGCATGCCGTGGGTCCTCCCAGACCAGGGCTCGAACCCGCCTCCCCTGCATTGGCAGGCAGATTCTCAACCACTGCGCCACCAGGGAAGCCCCCTAATGTATGTTTTGATGGCATCGTAATGTCCTCTTTTTTCCCCCTTAATCTTCTGTGCTGGATGATCCCGCACAAGGCATCAGATGGTCGTGCAAACCAGATCCCTGTGCACCAAGCCCCCAAGTCCCCACCCTAACCCCCTCTTGGTTAACCCATCAGAGGGCTGACCACCCACCAGCAAGCCCCTCCACAGTGAGTTCTGATTCACCGTGTGGACTCACCCTGCCCCAAACTTTACCCATTTTGGGGGAGTCATTTCCTGATTGGTTGAACTTTACGTTTCCCTCAAATGTCTGGAGTTAGAAATAATTCTTTTTCTTCTTCTTCTTTCTAATTCTAGGCATTTCAAGGAAATGTAAAAATTCAACCAGTCAGGAAGCATCTTTATCACTGAATCATCTTCCCCCGGACAGTGACAATGAATATTTAGCTCGAAAGGTCAGGATGGAGGCATAAATACTTGTTTTCAAATTGCACAGCAGAAAAGGTGTCAAACCGCCCGCCCTCCAGCCGAGCTTGAGGCCCCCTTACTGGTTCTCCTCTGTCGATGCTGGTGTCACTGAGTTTTATCTGGATGAAGACATCAGAGAAGGTATTGCAAAGGAAAACTGGAAAACCATTTAATGAAGGATCACTGTCCGATGGGGTCAATTCCCCCCGAATCTCCAGAACCAGCCCTGAAGGCTCCTGTTCAGTTCAATGCACAAGCCGAACATCTTGCTTACAAAAATAGACGGTTTATTCTGAGGAAGTTCTAGGTGTACAGGGCACTTGTCAGCATAGTACTGAGGCTCCTCAGCCACCTCCCCCATCCTTCCCCATCATGTTAACACCCGACATCCCCGCCATAACGAAGAACCGACATCGGTCCGTTTCCGAGGAGGGATCGGTGTTGGAATCTCTCCCGTTTTCCCCGTGCTCTTCTGGGATCCAGTCTGCGATCCTCTCATTTTCCTTAGATGTTCCAGCTTCCATCTTTCTCAGGATTGTGGACAAGAAGGGGAGCAGGCTGACGGATGTCTTGATGGTTTTGACTTACGCTGTAGGAAGGTCTTGGTGACAGACAAACTCAACAAGGTGACGAGGGAGGCAAGAAAGGAACGGTGGTTGGCACGGGACACTCTGTAAACTAGGGATTTAGCCAGGGACGTCCGGCAGGGGTTACCAGCCAAAGCTGGGTCCCCACGTGTGTGGGATGGGACTCTGAGGCAGGTGCTGGGTTCGACTCCCTGCTGGCTAACTCACCAGCTCCGGGCCACCGTTGTGGCCTTTATCGGTGAGTCCCACAGCAGTAATCTTACACATCTCATCCCATTTAGGAACCCGCCCTGCACGTTTATTTACATCCACTCCTACCCTAGAGGTATTTTAACAGCACTAAGGAATCTCATTGGCATTACAGAATCGTATAGGTTTCCAAAGACAGATCAGACGCTGGAAGAAAAAATAAATCAGTGTCTCCGTGCGAGAGTTTCCAACAAACCACCTGTTTTTAGCATGGATATTTTAAAACAGGCTCAAGTAAAGAGAATGACATAATGAAACCCTGTGTTCCCTTCACCCAGGCTCAAGCATTATGAGCTATCGGCATTCTGGTAGTTTTCATTTATCCAGTCCCCAAATATGCAGGCACAAATGCACACACGCGCGTGCACACACAAAGACGTGGGCGCATGCACGTGTACACATGTGTGTGAAGTGTGCACATATGGGTATGCACGCATGTATATATGTGCATGCTTGTATTTGCTCTCGTATTTTAAAGCAAGCATCAACCATCGTAACTCCGCCCAGGACTATTTTCATTTACACCTTCAGCATTTTAGGATCTCTTTTAACAAAGCCAAAGCCCCATCATCCCACCCAACCAATCCTGGATTCCACCCGCGCCCCGTTCGTGTTCTGCTGGCCCGGTTCACGCCAGGAGCCCAGAACACCGTGATTCTGCCATCCTTGAAATTCCAGGGAGCCTGGTGGGAGGGTAATGGGACGGCTCGGTCTTGGTCAGGCAGGGGTCTCAGGAGTCCGAGGGAGAAACCTGTCCGCCCAGCACACGGGGAGAAGTCAGGGATGTGGGTCTCTGCGTTCTTCCTCCCACACCCTCCCAAGAGCTGAATCACAGAATCACATCTTGTTTTTTTTCTCATGTCTATGTACATGCGAATGTGTTATCATTTTACGGGAGGCTTAAGAGGGCAACAGATTGAAGGAGTGTGTGGGGAGAACACACACACACAAACACACACACACACATACAACATTATTAAAAGGCCGAAAGAGGGGCAAATCCCGCCCTGCCTGGGATTTCAGGTGATCTGACGGACCTCTCGGACAGGCTGACGGTCACCTGAAGTTCTGGATGGAAATTCCCAGCAATTCGAAAGACCCTGTCGGACCTCCTGAATTTCGGTGGAACTGGGGGCCCCTAGAATGCAGAAGTCATGGGGGCGTCGACAGCCCTGGATGGCTGAGTGGCCGCCAACCAAATAAGGGCTGGCACAGCCCTCTGTGACCCAAAGGCTGGAGGGACGTGACATCCACTGGGGGAGGGTATTACTACCTAGACTGGCTTCCTCTGAATTCAAACTGTGAGGCTTAATAACAAAGCAGCAGAAAAACGTCCTGTGAGGGTGGTTTGAGGTTTTTCGCACTTTTGTAGCATCAGACACTGGAGGCCCACGCCCAGACGTGGGTGCCACTGTCCCTCCGGCTCAGGGTTTCCGCCCCCGGACTGTTGCTCCCTCGACCTGGCTTTCTAGGGTTCGCCTTGGGGACAGTTGGGGAGAGTGGGGGAACAGCACGCCATGCACGGACCATCCAGATCCCGGACACGTGCCCTTTTCTCGTCCCTTCCGCCCATGGGCTCAAGTCCTCCCCAGGGGCATGTCCGGCTGTCCCTCTGAGGCTCCCGAGGGTGGCTCTCGGCTCCCTGTAAACACAGACACTGGCTCGGACACCGTCCTCTGTGGAGTGTCCCAGCTGCGTGGCCTGGGGTGGAGGACGGTGAAGGGGCCCTCCAGGCTGCACCTCCAAGCCGAGGGACTGGATTCCACAAAGCAGGTCCCACCCTGGGAGCCAGCACCAGGCACCGGGCCCTCCTGCAGCCACCTAAGCAGGAGCCAGAGGCTCAGTCTCAGAATGTCAGAGTGTGTGTGTCTCCTGGGGCAGCCGTAACAAATTCCCATAAACTGCAGGCTAAAACCCCGGACAGACCTGCACCCTCCCCCAGCCCGGAGACCAGACGTCTGAGGGCAGCCATAACAAGTTCCCATAAACTGCAGGCTAAAACCCCGGACAGACCTGCATCTTCCCCCATCCTGGAGACCAGACGTCTGAGGTCAGGGTGTCCCAGGGCTGCACCCCCTCCAGAGGCTCCAGGGGAGGGTCCTTCCTGCCTCTTCCAGCTTCTGGGGGCTCTGGGCTTCCCTGGGCTTGTGGCCGCGTGCCTCCCGTCTCTGCCTCTGTCTTCCCGGTTCTTCTCCTGTGTGTCTGGGTCTCTCCTCTTCTGCCCCTTAGAAGGACCCTGTCGTTGGATGTAGGGCCACCCTGATCCCATAGGTCACACTTTGTGGTTCCTAGCGGACATGGACTTTGGCGAGACACCGTTCACCCCAGCGTACGTATGTCTGCTTCTCTTCCAATGTGACCAGGTGCTTCCAGAACATCAGCTCACAACCCCCATCTGCATCTCTGACTCACGGAGGGGACGTCACCTGCCCCACAGCCAAGCCACCCTGGAGGTCCCTGAGCCCCCGCCTGCCAGCCCCTCCAAGGTCTCACCTTATAGGCTGCAGGGCTGTTTTCCTTTCCCAAGAGAGCCCTGAGCTCAGTCCTGTGCATGTCCTTGTGATGTGCAAAGCACCCAAAAGTTTGTTCTTTCAGGCAAATCCCGGCCTCCCGGGAACCTGCTGGTTTAGCATCCTGGGCAGTCCGGGGACTGGGCCCCTTATCTTCCCAAAGCAGCCCAGGTAGTGGGGCTGGTACAGGTGTGTCCCAGGTGCTGAGCAGACCTGCTACGGGCTCGTGTGGTCAGTGCTCTCCCCTGGTCCTCCAAGGATCCCACGGGTCAGGCCAGGAGCCTCTCCAGACCCCCAGGACGACTTGCCATGGCCCGGGGTTCTCAGCTTGGAGGCGGAGCCAGAGAACGGGCCGGAGGGGGCCCCCCGAGGCAAGCTGCACCCCGAGGCGGGTCAGGGAGATGCAGTTGTAGCTGCGAACACTCAGAAAGTTGTCATCCGCCCAGAGACCCTCGGTCCACACCTCCGGGACGGACGAACTTCCGGTCTGGGGGCTGTGGCTTGGGGATATTTAAGGAGAACCTGATCCCCACCGGCGAGCCCCCGTGTTTGCTTGGCTCCGGGGGGCGGGGGGAACCAGGTGATGTCGCAGGGACCCATGGGCCCCCAGAGCACGGGGCCCGAGGTGGCCTGTCCACGGGCACGTGGCCAAATCCCAGTGCCCGGAGGGACCGCGGGTAGATTGTCGCAGGGCGGGGTGGGGGGGGGGGGGGGGGGGGGGAAGGACCGCACCGCCCTCTCCCGGCTGCCCCGCCCCCGCCCCCGCCCCCGAGGGGCGCCCGGCTCAGAAGACGCTCTCCTGCCGCTTGACGCTGGGCCGGCCGGCGGCGTCCAGCCCCTCCACGGAGCGCACGGACAGCGTGCGTCCAGAGACGAGGCTCTCGAGGTGCCCCTCGGGGCTGCCGGTGGGCAGGGGCCTGTAGCCCAAGTAGTGCCGCATGTGGAGCTGGAACTCGCGGGACGCGAAGTAGTAGACGAAGGGGTCCAGGCAGTTGTTGAGGCAGCTGAGGCAGAGCGTGAGCTTGTACACGTGGTAGTAGCTGCGGCCGAAGAACAGCCGACTGACCACGTGCACCAGCAGCACGAAGTTGTTGGGCGCGAAGCAGGTGACGAAGGCCAGAAGCACCACGGCCGCCAGGCACACGGCGCGGGACCTCCGGGCCTCCCCGTGGCGGTCGGCCGAGCGCAGCAGCGTGAGGATGGTGGCCGTGTAGCAGGCCACGGTGACCACGAAGGGAACGAGGAAGAGCACGACGAACAGGGTGAGGAGGAACACCGCCCACATGGCCACGCTGGGCAGCATGCTGGACTTGAGCACGTCGAAGCACGTGACGATGCCCAGCACCTCCACGGCGTAGGTGAGGTCCGTGCGGGCCAGCGGCGACAGGGCGGCCAGAAGGAGGAGCCACGTGCCGGCGCAGGCAGCCACGGCGTAGCGGCGGCAGCGCCAGCGGGCGGAGGCCAGCGGGTACACGACGCCCAGGAAGCGGTCCACGCTGATGCAGGTCATGGTGAGGATGGAGGAATACATGTTCGCGTAGAAGGCCACGGTCACCACGTTGCACAGCAGCTCGCCGAACACCCAGTGGTTGCCGTTGCAGTGGTAGTAGATCTGGAAGGGCAGCACGCAGGCCAGCATCAGGTCCGTGACGCTCAGGTTGATCATGAAGATGACCGAGGGTGTCTTGGGTCCGATGTGGCGGCACAGCACCCACAGGGAGAACAAGTTGCCAGGGATACTTATCAGTGCCACCAGCGAGTATACCACCGGCAGGACCACCGCGATGGCCGGGTCCCGCAGCATCAGGAGGGTGGCGTTGTCCGGACGCGTCACGTTCATGTCCATCCTGGAGCCGGGGGTTGGGGGCCGATCTGGAAGAGAAAAGGGGCGCCAGGGGTGAGAGGGGCAGACGACGGGGTCTGCCTGCACAGGGACGGAGAGATGGGAGGGTCCCTGGCGCCCAAGGGGCTGGCAGCTCCCGGTTCCTCCTCTGCTGGCCCTCCCTCCCTTCTGGTCCCTCTTCCCGCCCTCCACCTGTATCCCAGACCCAATAGATGCTAAATCCTCAAGGGCTGCATCACCCACAAAAGCTACAAGGAACCATTTGAAAACACCCACCACCGGTTGCCAGGCTCCTGACCCAGCATGGGGGTCACAAACCTGCCCCTCCATCCTGCACCGGGTGGTGGAGGGGGAAAGAGAACCCACACTGGGACGTGGAGACCCCGTGTCCTGTCCCTGCAGGCAGCAGGTGTGGGCTCAAGTCTGCTGGGGCCAGAGGACATAGGACTCTTCCTGTAACTGCCCACAGCCCAGCTGCACCTGGGTCACTGCACTCCTGCCCCTCCCCTGGCAACTTCCTTCCTTCCTGTGACTTGGAAGCATGGGGAGCATGCTGTGAGGCACGGTGCGGAGGCTTCAATGCTGGGGCCATGAGGATGCAGGGCGGTGAGGCCGAGGTACAAGGTTACAAAGTCACCAAGGGAATGACTCTGTTTCCAACCTGCAAAGTAGCTTCCCTCGGATGCTCTGAGCCCCAGTTTCTTCACTGGCACACAGTGAAGTCAGGGTCCCCCCACCCCAGGGCTGTGCTGGGTATCGCAGGCTGCCCTCCCCGACCGCACGGATGTGCTGTGCTGCTGGCGTCGTGGTCCCAGCAGGATAGTAAGTGTCACCCTGCGCCTGGCCTCCTGCCTTTGGCCCATAACCGCTCATCACCCCAACACCGCAGCTCCACTCCCTTCCAAGTTCGGGACCCCAATCCCAGAGCACCCGTTGTGGCTGCTCCTTTGGGGCGGGGGGGGATGTTGGGGCGCCTGAGACATCATCCCCATGTCTTCCCTCCCTCCATCCCTCCCCGGTGATGTCACAATAATCCTCTTATTGTGACATCACCGGTAGCACCAGCAGGACGTGAAGATAGAAAAGGGGCTTGGAGGTGAGCTGGTGACACGTTCCTAAACTGCAAAGGGGAGTGGATCCCCTGCCCGGCTCCGGCCCTGATGGGGGGTCCTGGGGGTTCCCTCCCGCAGACCACACAGAGCATCCTCTGCTCCTCCCCAATGATCCCACAGAGGAACCTCCCCCGGGCTGCTCCCAGCCGAGGGATCCGGGGACCATGGTTGAAGGGAGCGGTGTTTGTCTTGCAAGCACCTGCTTCCAGGTGCCACGTCCCCGCCGTCCCCGCCGGACGTGGTTTTGGAACCCCAGCGGCCTCCTTGCCTCCTGGGAAGTGCACAGCAATACAGGAGCCCATGGAGAGGCCCAGGTACCTCGTGGGGCTGGCAGCCCATTCCCTGCAAACCATGGGGAAGACGGAACGGCTGCCGGGCGGGTGTGTGGCATCTTTGTTCTTGTCTTGACCCCCCCCCGTGAGCTCCCAGGGCTTTTCCCAAGCATAGGACGGGCTCTTTGTAGGCAAAGGAGGATGCGATCGGAATATGTGTTACAGGAGTGGGGGAAACTGCCCATCAGGTCACGGTCTTAGGAGCAGACGCTGCGGTTTCCCGGAGAAGAAGGAATTCTGAGTCCAGATAGCAGGGTCAGCTGGTGCCTGGGTCTCTAGCCCCGCCCCCTGCCCTGCAGATTTCAGACTCACCAGCCCCACAACCAGTGTGAGCCAATTTCTTGAGATAAATGTCTTTATGTATATGTTGTATTTTACATTTGTAGGTACGTATATGTGCAAATATAGGCATGTGTGTTTGTATACACATGTACACTTATGTATATATATATCCTCTTGCATATAGTTGTATGTATGGGTGTGTGTGTATATACACACGTATCCGGTCGCATATATATCATATTGCATGTATACACACGTGTCTATACACATACAACCCTATTGCCTGCATACACTGGGTTGGCCAAAAAGTTCGTTCGGATTTTTCTGTAAGGTCTTATGGGAAAACCGAAGCAAACTTCTTGGCCAACCCAATATATGTGTGTGCGTGTGTGTGTGTACACACACAGATATATATCCTATGGCATATCCATGCATGTGTATGTATATATATACACATGTATATACAATTGCACAAGTATGTGTATACAATTTATGTGTATATATGTAGACATAAATATGTATATAAATGCAATAGGGTATATATGTGTGTGTGTATATGCGCGTATATATATATGCATGTCATAGGATGTCTGTATAGATATACATACACATCTGTGCAGTAGTACATGTGTACACATACATGTACATGCAATTGAATATACACGCGTGTAGATACATACTTCTATAGCTCTCCATCCTTTGGTTTCTGTTCCTCCGGAGAACCCTGATGATACAGAGCCAATGGTCCTGAGGGCCCTCCTGGGGCTGGGGGACCATGACGAGATGCTTGTTACTTTTATGCTGACCCTCATGTTAAGAGACAGTGGGTTTGCATTTCCAGACCCTTCCATAGAGCGCTCGGGATAACAGAGGTGGGAGGGCCCTGCCCACGGCGACACCTCCCAGCGGGTCCTCACGCCACGCTTTATCAGAAACGTTAAAACCAAAACCAGCTGGCAACAAGTGGCTGGGTCTCCTGCCCACGTTCATGGCACGAAAGCCCCTGTTCTTTGCCTGGAGCCGCTGTGGAGCACCAAGCCTGCCCTTCAGAGCTCACGGAGCAGAGTCTGGAGCCAGAGCCCCAGAGCCCTGGGCTGGGCAGCCATGCCGATGCCAGGTCCCAACACGCCGGGTCCCTCCTGCAAATATGGGCATAACTGAGGTATGGGCAGATGCCCTGGATGCCCTCCGGAGCCAGTGGGCTCTGAGCTGCTGGCACCTGAGCCTCGCACTCCTGAACTTCTGTTTTTCCCACTGATCTGCCCCCCGCCCCCGTGACAAAGAAGTCCACCCAGCTCTCCGCACACCCCACTCCTGACTGCCGGCCCCTCAGACCCGCAGAGAGGGAGGGCCTGGGCCCGGCGGGGACAAGGGATCCCTGGGGCTGCCTACACCCCGCCTTCTGGGCACAGCGGTCCCCGTTTCACTTTCTTTCTAATTTCTTATGTAAATGCAAACCAAAGGCGGCTCACTGCTCACTTCTGCTGGTTCTCAAAGTCTGGGTGGCGGCTTTGCTGCCCTATCAACCTGGAGGACACCAGATTTCTCTTTCTTCGAATGCTGGACAAAAGAGCTTTAACACTTAAAGTAGGAAAGCCCGCAACAAAAACACCCCAACAAAACAAACAAACACAAAAGAAAGAAAGAGAAGCACGGCGTGTGCGTTTTCTCACTTTCAAAGATGGCACCTGACCTGGAGTCCACGGGGTGGGGACAGCTGGTGGGGGTTAAGGACATGGCTTAAGGATGCTGTAAGGGACCGTTAGATGTGCTGTTGTGCTGAGGATCTGCCCAGGATGCCACGTTCCTGTAAGGGGCCGTCTGCAAGCCAGGAAGAGGTCCTCACCACAATGTGACCCCGTTGGCACCTCGATCCCAGACATCCGGCCTCCGGGACTAGGAGAAGTAAATGTCTGTTGTTTAAGCTGCCCCGTCTGCAATATTCTGTGGTAGCTGCCCGAACTGACCCAGACAGACATTACACTGATGGCCTCAGCCCGTGGCTGCAGGCACCTCATCACCATGTGAGCTGTGGTGGTGACACGGCGGTGGTCACAGGTGTGTATTCCCTGCACCGCACCTCACAGGACCCCGCATCTGGCTCTTAGGTCTCCCTGATGGGTTCACCTGGGTTTTGACTCGCTCCACTTGAATCCAGAGTTTCCTTCTGGCTGGGGTCACCTGGAGAAGCCCTTTGCCCCCGAGGGTTTGGGACTCGGAAACCGGAGCTGCAAGCTTGTGCAAACAGCACGTCGTGTAAAAGTTGGCCGGGTCTTAGCCAGCCTGGGGGTCTTTCCCTGGAGCCCAGCGTACACCCCACGAGAGGAAACTCTGCCATCGGCTTGGGGTTTCGAGGTCTGTGTTTCTCACCGTACCTCTTACTTCTCTTCTCGAGATCCCACCGGGGATGACCGCATTGCTATTTTGCCGTTGGCCGAGGCTGTCCCTTCTGCATTTGACCACGAGTGTGTACGATGCCGGGGCTCCTGAAATCAGGGCGTGGGGCTCAGCCGGGCATCAGGACCCTAAGACACCCACAGCTCCCATCCGCACTGCAGTTTGACTTGTCCCGACATGGTCACAGGGGCGTCCATCCCTGGATGTCTGTTAGCGGGAAACGTGGTCCTTGAGCCACCGGCGAGGCCAGGACCCAGCTTCGACTCTGATCTGATTGCAACTCCCCTTTCAAGCCTTCCTGTCCTGGTCTTTCTTCCTCTGCAGGAGACGTGCCATCTGTGGTGAGTGTGTGCACAGTGAGCTTCCGCAAACCCACTTAAAAATGGCCTGAGTTTCACTTTGAGTGGGAAGCTTTCTGCTCTGCTGGCTCACGGCCAGGTGCCATCCTATGGTCATTGCAGGGGGTGGGTACTGGCCCCTCCTCACAGCCACCCACCTCCATCCATCCTCGGCTTCAGGAGGAAAAGGGAGCCGTACTTCTTGGGATTCCCGTGGATGCTGCAGCGGGACCCATGGAAGGGAGAGATGCCAATAATTTACAGAAGACGGGGGGGGGGGGGGGGGGGGGGGGGGGGGGGGGGGGGGGGGGGGGGGTGACCTGGGAGGCTGCTGTGTGTCCCCGGGGGATGGGGGTGGTGGTCTGAGAAGATCGATGATGGACAGAGCTTCAGACAGGGAACCCATCCCCCTCGAGTGGAATTCCGAGGGCCGGGCGGCATTTGGGAGGCCTTTTTCCATTTCTGCTCAAACAGTTATGAATGCCAGCCCCACCCCCCAGGGGTTTTGATCTGTCCTAACCTCCAGGTGGGAGCTTCAAAAGAGTGTGAATTTGCATAACACGCGGCT